CTGTTGAGCCTGAGCAGATGGTTTGCGAAAAGTGTAAGATCTTCTCCCTCCTCCCATGAATTCCAGATGCACAATAATCTTCATTTTCTGAAATTAGGGGTTTTTATTTTATTTTTGCCCGAGATAGGGTTTCAATGTTTTCATTGCGTGCTTTCTGTACAGGTGAGAAGAAGCTCGCGAAGGTGATAGTGCCGGACAAGTGGAAGGACGGCGCCCACAACACCACCGAAGGCGGTGGCCGGAAAATCAACGAGAACAAACTCCTCTCTAAGAAACACAGGTCCCATCAATTTTCCCCCCTTTCGTTATTTCTGCTTTTCCGATCAGATAATGGCTTTCTGAGATGGAAGTTGAAATTGCCAGCTGATTTTCTTCGTTTAGGCGATTGATTTGGTATTTAGTGAAATTAGCATTGTTCTGAAAACTGGACCGGACCGGCCGGTTCAGCCAGTTGGACCGGGAACCGGCCTTCATTTCAGTGCCCAGTGTTTGAACCGGTCGAAAACCGTTCGAACCGGTCTCTTGAATATGCAATTAGCATTGTTCTGAAATTGCCAGCTGATTGTCTTCGTTTAGGCGTTTGAACCGTTCGAACCGTAGTGAAATTAGGCAATTTTGTGGCTTCTTTGTTCTTGAATATCGACAATGGCTTTCCTTATATTTTGTCTTTATCTTCTTTTAAAGCAATTTCTTAGGAAGAAGGTAGAATGAGCTTGAATTATCTGTGAAGTTTGCATCAAGTCCATTTCTGTTGGCTTTTGGGAATGCTTCTTTGCTAATTTCTTTCATTGCAACTCAAACTCTCATCAATTAGTAACTTTCAGTTATTCAGACAGCTGAGAATAAATAATCATTTGGAGAGAAATTTCGGTTATGTAGATTTCAACAATTGCCATCTTGATAATTTCCGTGCCTTCCTTTTGGGTGTAGTAAATTGTAGGTAGATCGCTTCTTTTACAGATTCCTTTCTGGTTTTGTGTTTAATTCTAAGTTACATTTTCCGAGTTGATTCATTACATTAAAAGGATATTTTGTTCTCCCTTTTTCAATTTCAATCTGCAATTTGCCGACTGCGAGAGAGCTATGAAAGTTCTTCTTTTTCCTCATTTCAATGAGTCGTTAGAGTTGATTTATTTTGCAGATGGACTCCTTATGGGCAAACCAAATGCATTATCTGTAAGCAGCAAGTACACCAAGATGGCAAATATTGCCACACGTGCGCTTATAGTAAAGGTTGTACAATTTTTTTTTTTATTTTTTATTTAATAATAAGATGAAAGCTTCGGGAGTGTTCTGAAATATTTTTTACGTTGTAGGAGTATGTGCAATGTGCGGGAAGCAAGTACTCGACACCAAGTTCTACAAGCAAAGCAATGTATAACGTTCTTGCTGATCTTAAAAGAAGGCCCTGCCTGATTGTTACTCGGTCCTTAATTTGTATCCATTTGTCGTTTTCAGATTGTCAAAACTATATTTTGTACAGTTTCTGTTTTGCTAGACATTGTTGCTAATGAAGTTTATTCTGCATTTACATTGCTTTAGTTCAAGTTTTAAATCAGGGTCTAATGCTGTAATGCCCTGCGTTACAATGTGATGAAATTTTACAAATGAACTCATTTCATATGTTTGTGTTAGCAAATTTTCGGCCTGCAATGGCGAAATTCTAACACGCACAGAAGTCTTGTTGTGTTTGTGTTCTGGACCGGGGACTTCTTGTAGAAACTATTTTTTTTGTTGGTTTGTAGGTTGTGTTCGGTAAGTATATAAGCTAGTTTATTGCTTATTTGATTAGCTTTATAGGACGAGCTTTTTAAAAAGCCCGAGTTTATAGACTAGTATAAACTCAAAATTCACTTAAAAACTATAAGCTAGTTTTATCAGCTATAAACTAAAAAATTACTTAAAAACTATAAGCACTTATCAATTAGGTTTACCAAACATAACCTTAATCATTTACTTCCACAAAACTTCCATTAGCTACATGTTCTCGTTGTGCATCCATTCTCATCCATTGTCAGACCGATTGTGAAATGCCACAATTGTAAGTGCTAAAAATTGTGTTTACTTACCACTTATGATACTCTGTAGAAGGGTCTACACACACACACACACACACACACACACACACACACACATTTCTCAAGCTAATCAAAAGTAACCAAAACTGAAATCAACCACCACATAACATTCAAGTTTAAGCATTTTTTTTTTTTTTTAATATTGAAAGAAGAGAAAAAACGAGTAACATGTTCATAACCGGAAAGTATTGTACGGCAAACGACATAACCTACTGCACCGGACAAGTGCATACCAACGTATAACATCCAGACCAATAAGTACCATATTAGATTACACTCAAAACATGCAAAACAAAGGCTGCTGCTAGAAGTAGCCCACACAGTTTATAAAAGCACGAAAACCTCAACTGACAGAAGATCAATAATCAGCAACCCTTAGAAACCATGAATCTTGATGTGTTCTTTCTTCACGATGCCAGCCTGTGGAAAAAAAAAAAAAGAACTCTTTTAAGATAACAAAAACTGAAAAGTATTCCCTTCGAGCAACGTCACAAGAAAAATACCCATAACTGAATGACAACAACAACAAAGCCTTTCAGTCCCAAACCCATAATTGAATTAAAAAAAAAAAAAAACGAACAATTCAGAAACTACCTGAACCAGGAATGTTGATACATTCTTTCTCTGGTCACCTTGGAGTTGAATAACCTACAGCAAACGGAAATAAGAGTTAAGGAAAAACGCATCATGGAAAAAAAAAAAAAAGTATATTATTAATATAAATAAGGTTCAAAAGTTGGATAAATAGATACCTGGCCTAGTTCAGGGTCCTGAACAACAGTGCCATTGCAGCAAAATTCCTTCTTCAGGTCCTTGAGGATTTTATTGTAGCTAAATTCCTTCTTCAAACCCTGCACAGTCGTCAAGCTTTTCCTACCATTTCTTTGTTGTATGCGAATATGCACATACTCTTTAGACCCTGCACCCGAGTCTTCAGCTTTTGCATCGGCAAAAGGATCTGATAACGCGCAAATTAAAACACTTAGAATCAATAATACATTACTCTAATCCAGATCAAGATCACAAATATAATGGATGTAAATAGTTGAGCAAAATAGAGCAAGGCAAATGATACACACTTACCGAAGGCACTAGGGATTTGAACTTCAAAATCAGACATGAAAATTGGTTACAGAAGTTGATGAGCGAAACCAACACTGCAAGGAAAAAAA